AGTATTTAGTAAATGCTTACCATATGCTAGCACTATTCTAAGCACAGAATATGTGTTAACTACCTTCCTCCTCACCAGCCCATGGGGTCATGGTTATATCCCTATTTTGCAGATGAGAAATGAGACACAGAAATGCTAATTCATTGGTCAAGGTGGTACAACTAGGAAAAGACATCCAGTCTTTTGACTCCAAGCTCATTTTCTTAATTCTTGTGCTACATTATGATATTCAATAATGTGCTGCAACGTTCAATGAGATTTTCACACCTTGTGAGGTATGTAATATTATTGACCCCATTTTACAGATGAGGAAAATGAAGCTCAAATTTTACTGACATGCTCAAGGTCATATGTTTAGATAACAGCAGAAGAGGGACTTGAGTTTAAGACCTGCAATCTCTCAAATTCCCCACTATTTCCACTGCAGCTGGTGAGCAGAGGACTTGGCTTGTCTTGAACTGGTACTTGTGAATATGTTGTATCTGAAGTCACAGTAAAATGGCTAAGTAGACAAGACTGTAGGGAAAAAAGAAGAGCAAGTTTTCTGAGAAGCTGCAGCAGCCTGGGGGAAACATAGAGGAGTGCAGGTGGTGGGGGAGGTGGGAGAGGGGCAAGACCACAGACTGGCGCTTGATGTCATGTGGAGAAAGCCTGGCAGACTGAGGGCCTCTGTGATTCAGTGCATAGAGAAGTCTGGGGGTCCGAGACCGTGGCAAGCCCTGGTGTTGGTCAGGTGCAGCCCTAAGAGAATACCTCAGGAGAGCACAGAGAGCAGAAGACAGACTGCAGGCAGAGGACTAGGCAGTGAGAACCCAGAGGTGTGTCACTCTTAACATGCCAACTATGATGGGAAGGAGAAAAACAGGGTGGCAGAGACAAGAAGTAGTGCAGGAGGCTTTAGGTAACAAAGGACTCTTGTGCATGCTTGACGGCAAAAAGAAGGTGGTGGTAGAAACAAGTCAGAGGAAACCTCCTCAAGATTGGGGAGAGGACAGAACACTCAAGGCCATTTGTGATGGTGGCAGGGGGCAGGAAGGGTCCACTTCTTTATCCTAGAATGGACAGAAAGATGTAGCCAGAGATCATGTTTCCGTTTTGCAGACATCTATAGAGGTTTGTGCTAACTCAAGTCATCTGCTGCCAGTGAGTGTAGTGAGGAGGCTGATGTTTTTCCAACACATGTCCATCTATCAGGATCAGGCTGTCTGGCAAATATGACAAGTTAGCCATCATCAAATCACGTACAAGGAACTTGTAGAATATTTGTATATTCTGCCTACATTACTTCCTAAAAACATACCATTCACTGGGACTCTGGTTGCACATATCAGGCACTCAAGCCAGCTTAAGCAAGAAAAGCTGGCTTCTCCATCTACACAGCACACTGAAGAAGGCCCCACACAGGGGTGACTTTACATCTCCTTTGTTCAAGAGACCAACCCAGACTGACTGTAACAGGATTATTTTTCTTCTGTAGGGGACAAAAACAGCAGATCAAACAAGCTTAAGCTAATTAGAGAATTTAACAGCTCAAATAACGGAAAATCCCAAGCCAGCTGGATCCAGGTGTTCAAACGTCACCATAACGAGGCAGCCTCTCCCTCCACCATTGCCTGCACTGGCTGCATTCTCTGTTAGCTCTGTCTTCTTGGGAACAGACAACTAACAGGTCATCCAGGTTTCTATCCTTCCCCAGCAGGCTGGTTTTCTGAGAATCCCAAGAAGTCTCAGGTTGGGCTCTGGTAAAGCCCAGCTGTGCTCACAGGCTCACTTCTAAACCACCTGTGGCCAGATAGAAAGAGTATGGGGGTCATGCAGCTAGGACTGAGGTAAGACCACCCCAAACACAGAACAATAACATCAAATGCTATATTAAGTTTACTGTTTGCTGGGTACAGTTCTAAGTCGGTAAGTTAAACTCATTTTAACCTCAGGTCATTACCTTCTTTGTTTACTAATTTAATCATAACCCCCCCGCCCCTATTTTATAGAAGGGGAAACTGAGACACAGACTAACACATTTCACCCAAGCCCTCACTACGGAGCTGGAAGATGATCCAGAACTTGGACCCCAGGAGCTGGGCTCTTGACCATTAGCAGAAGGGATTTGCTACCAGGAAAATGGGAAATAGATGCTAGGCATGCAATAACGACAGATGTCCAACAGTCACTCCAAAATCTCATTCTGCAGAGAAAATTATTTACCCAGCCTGGGACTGAGTATCCACCTGGCCTTGGGGGGTGGAGGGAGGGATCAAGTTGTACCAAGGTTGTACTAAGGTGGCTGCTTCTACTATGACCTTGTACATGGACTAGTTCCAGAAAAGAGGAGGGACAAAAGAATAAGTGCCCTTCTACCATTATTCTCTGGTAAGGTGTCATATGACTGGGGAAAAGCAATTTTAGCCATGTAGATAAAAGTAAAAAGCTACTCATTGAAGGCCTCTGGGGGTAATAATTTATATTCCACCACCCTAAATTCTACTATCCACAGGAGCTGAGTATGAGAGTCCAGCAATCTGAAGGTGCACAGGGAGTTCACTGCACTGGAGGAGATGCCCAAGCATGTTCCTTTTTTATTGTAAGGGTCCAGGAGAGGGCCAGAGAAAGGAGCCCAGTCTGCTTTTCTATAAGGAAAAAGCACAATTTCATAAATTGTTATGATTAAACTGCACTTTGGAATTGCAGACAATGCAGAAAGTAAATCTACCTTTTCAGTTATCCCAGCAAGATTGTCAGTAGAAGTGCTGTCTTCAATTCTCAGAATCACAGTTTGATAAAGGTGTTGAGTACAGTAGTCTCCCCTTATTCTCAGGGGATACATTCCAAGCCCCTCAGTGGATGCCTGAAACAGCAAATAGTACCTAACCCCATACATACTGTTTTTTCCTATACATACATACATATGATAAAGCTTAATTTATAAATTAGGCACAGTACTCTTGCACTTTGGAGCCATTTTTAAGCAAAATAAGGTTGTCTGAACACAGACACTGCAACACCGCGCTTAAGTGACTTAACAGGCAAGGAGTGTATGCATCTTGCCTATGCCACAGAAAGGGATGATTCATGCTTCTAGTGGGACAGCATGAGATTTCGTCACGCTACTCAGAATGACATGCAATTTAAAACTTATGAATTGTTTATTTCTGGATTTTCCCATTTAATATTTTTGGACCATGGTAACTGAAATTGCGGAAAGTGACACCTTGGAAAAGGGGGACTACTGCAGTCTTAGGCTGATGCTGACACTGGGGCCCCGGTGTTGGGCAATAAAGAGTCACTGTGAGCTAAGCAGATCTCCAAAATAAAGCCTACTTTGCTGAACAGCTAAACATCCACACTAGAAAATTCTACTTACTTTTTGAAATTTCATGGCTCTTTCACGTCTGTGTTCTGTCAGCTTCTGCTAAGTTATACTGTAGTAATGACCTCAGCGATTACCTCAACAAAGGTTTCTTTCTCTCTGACGTTTCCCATATTTCACAGGTCAGCTGTGGCTCTGCTCCAACTGGGGTCCTGGGGCTAAAAAGCTCCCCAATCTGAGACCTGAAGTCAGTTTTGAGCAGAGGACAAAGAGTAACGGCACCGAAAGAGATAGGCACCCAACGCCCCTGCTCAGAAGTGGCAAATTTCCACCCACATTCCATTGGCCACAGCATCTTGTATGGCCAAGCTTGACCTCATTAGGGTGACAAGACATCCCTCCCTTGGGAAGGGACACCAGGGGCAGTCCTGTAGAAGGTGGATTATTTTAAATAATATACATCTACTACACGCCCATTTTTCTTGGAGAATAAAAAGTTTATTTTAAAATCTCCATAGGGAAACACTGGCTGTTTTGGTTTATTTTTATTTTTATTTATTTTTTTAAAAGATGACCGGTAAGGTGATCTTAACTCTCAACTCAGTGTTGTCAGCACCACGCTCAGCCAGTGAGCTAACCGGCCATCCCTATATAAGATCCGAACCCGTGGCCTTGGTGTTATCAGCACTGCACTCTCCCGAGCGAGCCACCACCGGCCGGCCCTTGTTTTATTTTGATAAAAACAGCTCTGCTTAATGTCTACAGTGCTATACCATCTTTGGTGATTCCCGAGCCAACTGGTACCAATTAAAACATTAGTAAGGCTAAACAACTTTCTCGTCTATTACCATTGAGAAAAAGTAAATGGCTTAGAGATAAATTGTAAGTAAATGTCATTAGGCCAATATCCTATGTTAGTAGAGCACTGGAGAGACTTGGAAAGGTTTTGTCTTGGTTTTTAAAGTCACGTGTGATTTCAGTAGGAAAAATGGAGTACAGGGAGAAGAAATGGAGGGGGCCAAAACCTCTGTGCTAGGATGAGGAGTCGGGGGATTCAGGGAGGCCTAGCAATTACAGCCCATTTAAAGTGTGAGAGGCAGAATTAAACTTTCGAGGTTTCTCTGGCCCCAAAGCCCTTAGATACTTTTTTAAAAAAAAAACTTTTTACTTGTTTATTTTTTCTCATACTCTTTCTTGTGCTAATGGTAGCTTCCCAAAGAAAAGGGACAAAGAGAAAATAAGGGGGAAAGGAGGTTTAAAAAAAGGAAAGTTGAGAGGCAGAACAGCTCAGAGCAGCAGAGGAGGTAAGAGAGACAGGAGATACTGAAAGAAAAAAGAGGAAGAGAAGACTAAAAAAGAAAAAAAAAAAAAGGTAAAAGACCCTCACCCTCGCTGGTGGTCTTCCAAATTCACTCCGGAAGTCCCCTTCGCAGCCGCAGGCCGCAGCCTTGTGTTGGAAGGTAAGGAAACGCGGAGAGGCCGGACATGCCGCCCGCGGCCGCGAGAGGCCAGGAGGCTCCCCGCTCCCCGGCACCAATGCTCGGGCCTCACCCAGCTGAGCCTGTCGGGTGTCCGGGGCTGACGGTGACCGTAAGGGCTGCGGCGGGGCGGGCCCGGGGGCAGGGTCCGGGAAGAAAAGCAAACCTTCCCCGAGAGAACGAAGCCGGCCCGCGCCGTCCCACTCCCGGGTGCTCACTCCAGCTGCAAGCCCCTTTCACGCCCAGCACAGGTGGGCCAAGGCAGGCGCGCTAACCGTCTGCCCCAGGAGGATGAGGAGGGGACACTGGCCTCCGCTGCAACCGCCTAGGTAAGGGTCCGGGGCGACCGCGCGTCCCTCGCCCGACCATTTTAAAATCCAAGCCCAGGCGCCATGTGCCCACTTAAGTTGCGTAGGGCTTGGTGACTTTGTCACCAGGCGGGCGACTACACCGTCTCGGTCTCCACTTTGGAGACGCATGCGTGACCACGCATTTTTCGGGGCAAACTTTCTCTTTCACCCGCTAACTGGCCACAGTTAAAACTAGAATCCAAAGAAGCAAATCGCGCGGGCGAGAGAGCACGCCCACAGGCCAGAGAGTGGCGGGCGGCAGAGAGCGCGCCCGGCGGCAGCAGAGCACACGCAGTGGATGGTGGGCGGGTGCCCCTCACCCGCCGCCGGGGCGCCCGGGCCCTCTCTGCGTCCCACCGCTTGCTCGGCACTTGGCTCCCCTTCCCACACCCAGTGTTCCCATAACACCTCGGGCCCCCACGCAGGACAGCCAGGGAGTCCCCTCCGCACCGCGCCACGCCACGCCCCCGGCGCGCGCTGAGCTCCTGTCGGGGGAGGGGCGGGGCGCCCGACTCCGGCGCTCCGGCTTACGGCAGCTCGTTTCCGCCTCCTGCGTCGGGGCGGGGCCAGCGTAGCGCGCGACGCGGGCCGCCTTCCGAACCGTAAGTACCAGCGTGACTGCACCTCTGTCCCGAGTGGCTGGAGGGCCCTGCTTCGGGGAGTGCTGGGTGCGCCTCGCCCTCCGCCCGGTGGCTCCCTGCGCTCGGGGGCCGGCGGGAAATAAGGGCGCGCTTGTCGGCCTTTAGAGGGGTGGGCGAGGGCAGGCTTAGGGGGGCCTCGTGGAGGCCTTCGATCTCCGGACACCGAGTCCGCCCCGCACCCGGGCCCCGCTGTCCCCGCGAGCGACTCGGAGACCACGGGTCGAGGAGATGGAACAGCGGTGGCCGTGTGTGTCCGGCTGGTGTCAGAAGGCAGGATAGTCAGTCAGGCCGTTACCACCCAGTCAGTGCAGCGTCGCTTCCATTGTTGCTACTGCAGAACTCACCGACCTGGGGGAAGACCGGCAGCTCTGCAGTCAAGGCGGGTCCGGGCGGTTAGAAAGTTCCTTCTCCTCAGCTGCTCCGGGACCCTGGTGGGTCACCGCCGCCTCTCACTCCGCTGTGCAGCTCCGAAGCACGGAGTGGTAACAGTGGAGTGTGTTGGGCATCCTGCAGGAGTTGAAAGGTTCTGCCCCAAACATCCATTGGTACTAATTCAGAGCCGAATTTCATTTCCCATAAGACTCGGAGGAAGAGCCACGCAAAAGGATTTACACAAAGGCTTCCCACACCTGTTTCTTTCATCTTCTTTCTGACGTGTAAAACAACCTTAGAAAGCATTTGGAGTTACTTAAGAGATAATAAATCTTCTGGCCAGAGCGTGACCCAGGATTCTTTTGCACGACAGGTCCGAGCAGAGGACTGGGTGTGGGCAAGATGGCCCTGGTGCCGTATGAGGAGACCGCGGGAATGGGGTTGCAGAAATTCCACAAGCCTCTTGCCACCTTCTCCTTTGCAAACCACACGATCCAGATCCGCCAGGACTGGAGGCATTTGGGAGTCGCAGCAGTGGTTTGGGATGCGGTAAGTAAGCCGTGGGTTGGGGGTTCTGAAAGCATCTACACTTGATTATAAGACTGGTCGTTACTTTTTTAAAAAAATAACAGCCTTATTGAGATATGATTCACATACCATACCCTTCACCTGTTTAAAGTACACAATATAGTGGGTTTTTTAGAAAGTAAATTTAGAGTAGTGCAACTTGTCACCACCTCGATTTTAAAACATTTTCATCACCTCCCTCCCAAACTCCTATCCCTTACTAGTCACTGCCCCTGACCTCCCACATGGTTTGCATTTTAAAGGTGAATAAATGAGTGCTGAGGGAAGTTAAAGGACTTGCCAGTAATAACCCAGTGAATAAGAAAGAACACTGGATGGAAAGCAGGAGTCCCTGACGGCAATGGACGCTGTTTAAGTTAGTCTTTAAAATATTGCACAAAGAGAAATAGCCAGGCATAGAAAGAGATATATACCCCATCTCCTCACTCATAAGTGGGAGCTTAAATAAATAAATAAGGAAAGAAAAAAACAGCAATCACAATAATAAATTGAACTTTCAGAGGAGAGAGCAGAACTATGCTTACTAGAGGTGGGAAAGTGGTAGGGAGAGGGAGGTTAGCGAGAAATTGGTTAATGGACACAAAGAATGATGACGTTTTGTAATGATGAATATGCTAATTATTCTGATTTGATCACATCGTATGTAAGTATTGATAGTCAACTCTGTACCCCACAAATATGTATAATAAGTTGTATTTTAATAAAAAATACTATATTTAATAAAAAAATAAAATATTGCACAAAGAATATTGTAAAGTGAGAAAGCCCAAAATGAAGTCATGTGTTTTCTTTTAAGTTTTCCATAGTTGTAATGGTTGCAAAATTATAATTGTTCTGTTACCTCTTCCTCTCCTAGCACTGTTCTGTCTGCTTGAGGACAGTGACTTGTGCCCTCAGCATCTAGTGCCACACCTAGGACTCAGTGGGATCTCAATTAGTATTGAATAAATGATTGGCATATATGCAGTTTTACAGTGTTAACATTGCATTAGGGATGTTAGAGAAATCTTTAGGAAAAAAACCTTAATATGTTCGAACCTAGTAATACCACTTCTAGCAATCCACTCCAAGGTAACTATATGAAAATTATTCCCATAATGAGTAATAAAGATTAATAATGAGGAATGGGAAACCTCCTAAATGCTCACCAAGAAAAGGAATTGTCAGTTGTTCTCATAGTATGTGGCTATCAAAAACAAAGTATAGTTAAAAAATTATGTTACTATTATACAATTTTTATAGGATGGTAAACAAATGCTAACTCACACATTAAGTGTCTAGAACTTTTGCCAAAACTTATACTCAAAACATATGGTAAGGGCCTCTATGGGGCGGTGACCGTGAGTGACACAGCTCAGGGAGCCTTAGGCACTGCACTGCTTTTTTCCTCTGGGTGAAGTTGTGGCATTGCTGACCTGAGCTTGGTTTAGGAACTGGACAGTCCCTTAAACAAAAATCACAGAAATTGTTTATGTCCTTTCTTCCAGAATAGTTTTGTAAACCTCAAGTGTAAAAGTGCTGTGACACAGTAAAAAATTAAACTTCCCAGATTCAGCAGGACCCTGTCTTGGTGGGGGCAGTGTCACTGACCACTGCTGTGGGACTTTGGGTACACTGTGTCTGTGCTTGCTCTAGGAGGTTACCTTATAGCAGCAGCTAAGTTGCTGTGTGTGTTGTGAAACTAGGAATCGAACTTTGCAGCGTGAGAGGAGGTATGCGGTCTCTTCCTGCTGGTGCGTAGCCAACCTGAACCCTGCAGCTCCTAGAATGCTTGTTGACCTTAATCATAATCACATTGTTTTTTGACTCAGGCCATCGTTCTTTCCACATACCTGGAGATGGGAGCTGTGGAGCTCAGGGGCTGCTCTGCTGTGGAGCTGGGTGCTGGCACAGGGCTGGTGGGCATAGTTGCTGCACTTTTGGGTGAGTGTGATGCATTTGCTCATGCTTTAGTGAGCAGAACTTGTTGACAGGTGCATTTGCTGTTTTCTTAGCACAAAATTGATTGTTGGTTTTCCCCTTACTGAGGTATTTTTCCCCCTGTACTTATGAGCTGTGGGCCAACTACTGGTGCTCTTAACTCCAGTAAGGCTAATGGGTAATTTATTTTCTTTCTTGTGCTGTTACTTATACTTTTCAAGGTAAATTGTTTTGCCCCCTTCAATTTTATGATGCCAATAATGTGATCTTAAGGCAACTTTGATTTCAAGGAAAATACCAGTTTTTTACAGTTTAAAGTGCTTTCTTCCCCGTACACTATCAGATTTAACTCTGTGAGGTAGGTAGAGCAGATAGTCTCTTTTCTTCATTGCTGAGCAAACTTTGCTGGTTTTTCTCTTCTGGGAGGGGTCAGCCCCACTATAGTTTATACTGAAATACTACATTTAAAAATTATATTAACAGTATACAGTTCTGAATTGATGTCCAGGTTTGTCATCTTTTGTTTGGTATACAGATGTTAATTTAGCATTTTTAAGCTCCATTATTATCTTTATTATTCACTGTTGACTCCTTTCTACAACTTGTGACTCATATAGTTGAACTGTCCAATGGTGAGGACATCCTAGACAAGCTTCTAGGATACTGTGTATGATATTCACCATGTCACTATTGTCAGCTGGGGCTCTTGTTAAAATGCAGTTTCTGATTCAGTAAGTCTGTTGTGGGGCCTGAGAGCCTGTATTTCTGTCAAGCTCCCAGTGATGAGGATTCTGATACTGCTGGTTCTCAGGCCACACATTGGTAGTAGGGATCTAGGAATCCAGAGCATTTTGAACTCAGATATTGTCTACAGATATTTGAGGACCTGCTAAAGCCCCTCTTTTGTTCTGCACTTTTCCCAGCAACTCATTTCTTTTTCAGTATTCCTTTTTCTGTCAGGTATTGCTTTCCAAAATTTGGTGGGGAGCATGGGCCAGGGTGGTGGTTAAAAGTATACATAAATTGATTTAAGTTTCCATCTGTCTAAAACCACAGCTCTTAAGTCATTGATGAGGCCCTTGCTGGTACACTGTCTTTTATCCTCCTCAGGTTAGGCTTTATAACCTCACCATGTATATCAGGTATTTTAATTTTTGTTTTTCAAGTGAAACTGGGGTTCCAGGTGATTTAAGCCACTTTCTGAAGTCCTGATCAGTGGAGATCTGGTACTCAAAACCAGGTTTGTCAGACACAGCAGCCCAAGTTATTTTCTTTTTATGATACCAACTTCCCTCTCTGCTGATATGAGAGGAGTTAACGAGAAGGGGAAATAAATTCCTTCTGTTTCCTCCTAAGAACAAGGGCTTTGTACAAAACTTTATTGGCTGGTATAGAGACATGTTTGTGTAGTAAAGTGCATAGGTTTAGTTATACCTGGTTTCAACACCTCTTTTAACTCTTACTACTTGTGTGACTTTGGGCAAGTTGCTTAGCCTCTAAAATTTGATTTTCCCATATGTAAAATGAGGATAATAATAATATTTATGCTACAGTGAGGATCAAATGAGATGGTGCATAGAAACCTGTTAGTTCATTGACTGACACAAAGGAAATGTTCTGTGAGTAGAAAAATACTATTCTGAGTATTTTTTTCTGACCTAGAAATCTGGATCTGTGGAGTTGGGAAAGTCAGGATAAGACATTTCAAATATGTACTATCACAGAGCAAGGGATTAGTGTTGTTGCCACAGAAGACTTGGTTGGTTCTAACAGCGTACAATGTTCTTGTGACCAGGTGGTATGTGCTTCATGGCCCAGCCTCACTGTCCCCCCCCCCCCCTT